AAACTATGCGTTTTCTCGTACTTTTGAGCGTGAGTGGTTTCCTCCAATTTTCTAAAAATTTCAATTTCAATTCAAAATTTGGAAGACATTCGTTTTCTATAAATTTGTTCATATTTGTTCATATTTTCGTAGCACTAGTTGTATTTACGTTTTTACGTTTGTAACAATAATTTTTGCTCGTGACTCACGTCAGCGATATCGCTTTATGCGTTAGTGCGATTCCACTCTAAATACCCTCTCTTTCGGTTGACGTATTGACCAATCAGAGCGCGTGTTTACTTTAAGCTATGCGATTCTATCATATAGACAAGCAAGAGCATAGGCAGTGGAGTGGTGCTTGCGAAAACGATTGTACATTACTCTTTCAAGAATTTTAGAAAATGCAGGTAAAACAGACACGGATCTATAATTTGAAAATATATCCTGCTCACCGGATTTAAATGAAGGAATAACTCGAGCAATTTTTAATTGATTAGGTACAATGCCAGAAGTAATAGATAAGTTAATTAAGCGTATAAGAGGTAAAATAATTATCTCAATAGATTCTAAGTTCATGACCTACAGCAGTACCTGAACGACAAGTGCTACAAATTTCAATAATTTCTTGCTCATTCGCGGCGTCTAGAAATATTGAATTGACTGGTTTCGGAGGTAAAAAAGAGTTATGCGACTTTACTGATACAGGAATTTTGTTAGCTAAATTGGGGCCAGTATTAGTAAAATATTTGCAAAAGAGATTAGCTACTTCCTTAGGATTAGAAATTTCTCAAGAATCTGCCCTAAACCTGACAGTTGATTTTAGTTTTTCAATTCGTTCTTCATAATATAAGCGTTTAGCAACTCAAAGAGAGTGAGTAAGTTTGTTTTTATACGATCTTTATACATTCTCAGTAGAAGAGTTGGGATTATTAAGAAAAGACTTATATAGCATATTTTTCTTCCTTATAGAACTAGCAAGACCTTTAGTAAACCAAAGCTTACGAAGCTTGAACCGCTTTGCTTTCAATTTTCTGAGTGGAAAACATTTATCGTAAATTAAAGCATACTTTTCAACAAAGATTTCATAAGCGCAAGATGGATCATTAAACCAGGCATTTGAGCCCAGTTTATCTTACCTAACTCTTCTTTGAAAACACTTAAATTATGAGTATTGTTTTCACGAAAAAATACATTTGTCCTTATAACTAATGTTATTATTACACAAAATAAGTCAAAATATAGGTTAATGATCAGATATATCATTGAGAAAAGACCTCTTATTGAGAAAAAGACAGAAAGAAGCATAGAGCCGAAAGAAGTGTAGGTCCTCTTACGTCAGATCTTTTTATATCCTTAGAACAAAGAGACTTACACCACGTAAAAGCAGTGTTCGTGCGAGTGAGTCATGTCAAAGAACACTTAAAAAAATTAAACTTATATCAAACGATTGTAAATATTGAGAGCTATTCCATCTTTCGTAGAGACAGAAATTGGAATGGCAGAGATATGCGCAATAAGGGTGGGATTGCTATATACATCAGGAACAATCTTGCAGTAGAGGATGTTTACCGCTCTAGTCTTTATGAATTAATTTGTATAACTCTGCGACTTCCCAAGGGACATCGATTTGTAATATGTGGAGTTTATCATCCTCCAAAATTTAATTATGCAGAGATCGATCTAATGAATCATCTTGTAAATACCGTGGATAATGTACTAGACAAACATCCACAAACAGTTGTGTTGTGCGGTGGCGATGTCAACAAACTGGATATCAAACGCTTCGAAGAAATGTCTGGTTGGAATGCTCTGGTTAATTTCCCCACCAGAGGGAATTCTTGTTTGGACAA